CACAACGATGGCAGCTATGTCCAAATATGATTTTATGTCGTTCCAGGTTATGGTCAAAAATAACGGCTCAGTTGATGATGTGTTTAAAAATTTCATCTGTGTTCAAATGCATATATTTTAACGTTTCAATATTTACATAACTTTTATACCATTTCTCAAAGACAACTTTTGAAAATTGTGTGAAGTAATGAAGGACGGAAAAAAACAAAAAAAAACAAAAACATTACTTACGTACGGTCCCAAATAACTGTTCAATGAAAAATTGGCAATAGAGTCTTTCAGGTTTTGGAATGTATTTGCTTGATCAAGAACTGAAAAAATATTTACAACAACCCATTAAAAAAGTTAAAAAATTATTGATAGTTTTAGCATAAAATAAGCAATCAATATTATACCTGATGATTTAAAAAATTCATTCATGTTAAGAACAAAAATTATCTCACTTTCGTTGAACTGATCGTTGAAATTAAATGAAGACTCCAAGCTTATCTATAGGAGTAAGTTTTAAGTTAATTACAATTAATTCCTTATCTATAAACTAAATTAATCGTTTAAAAAATGAAACTATCAAAAAAATGTTCATTTCAATTAATCCGCTTATTTTTGTCAGATCAAATCAAATAGTTAATAAAATGAAATGAAATGACATGGGAAACAAAAAGTAAAGATTTGTAGAAGGCTGCCATTTAAAATTTAAAAGCAGTTAACTAAAATTAAAAAACAAAATAGTAAAAAATATAATGAACACAAAATTGAAGCATCAAAAAAGAAATCAAATTGTATCACAGCCAATACTATAAAAACAATTACGAAGTTGTTTAAACAGAACAGTAAAATCTTAACATATTAATAGCTGGTTCAAAGCCAAATATTTTATTCTATTTGTTATAAATTTTCTAACGGAAGAGCTGGCGTCGTTAAAATCGGTGGAATATTTTCCCAGATCTGGTAGCTGCGTGTGAATATTAGAACGGTGATTTTGAACAGCAGGATTTAGAATTTAATTAATTTCATACAAAAATAATAACAACAGACAACTTGTAATAATTAACTTGATTATTACAATAAATGTATAAATTAATCATCAAATATTATTCTGGCAGAATACCCACTATAGCAATGTAACACACGCGATGGTTAAATTTTACCTAACAAATATATTAAGAAAGAAGTTGTAAAGACAAAACGTGAAGAAAAAATATAACATACCATAGTAGGGACTCTTAAAAAAGTCCAATTACTATATGCACCAAAGGCCATTTGACAATCGGCGTCTGGACAGCTAGACAAATTTCCTTTGGCATTTTGTCTGATCGTCTCCAGACTACTGTTGAACTTGCCGTACTGATCAGTTAAGAAGACGGATAAGTTGCTCATGTACGTCAGGTTGTCCTTCAGCAGCGAGATAGCTTCCAAACAAAATTTACAAAAATTCAGCGATTAAAAATAATCACAAAAGTTTGAAAAAAGTTGGAAAAAAGTTATAATAAATCATCAAACACTCTACGATTTACATAATACATTACATTCAGGAGTTTATCAAGATTTAAGATGAAGAATAAAATTATGCTCAAAATAATTTCTTGTTTGTAATTTACATATTAATTTTTGAAAGGCTTCAAATTTTTCGTGGAATAAAATTATGCGTTTTACTAACTATTAAACTCAACGCAGGAGAAAAAATGTTTTCCTCAAGTTTTTGAACCTTCCATGCTTCAATTGCAAATTTCTATTCATACCCATTATAAAAACTTAATAATCATGATATCAGCTTACAAAATGTCAACAAAAAACATTTACAATATTGCAGATTAGTTAGATCTTCAGTCAACCGGGGGCAGGCAGAACAAGCATCGGCCAGACCATTTTTTATCTCAACTATTAACAAAAATAGGATAGTAATTATTCAATCAGTTTGTATTATTTTTGAAAATTACTGTAAAATTTTATGAAGTTAATTTTTTAATCCAGATGATAACAGAAAATGCTGATAAATGAAGAAAAGTATCGAAATGATTGAATGCTCATGTAACAACATCATCAGTTTAATTTAGCACATGTGAATAAAATTAAACAAAAGTAAATTACCGTTTAAGCCTTTCAGACTATCATTAATTTTTCCGACAAGTTCGTTCACATCTAAATTTCGGTTGATCTCCTTCAAAAACAAATTTAACGTTCGTTTGAAACAAACACACACACACACGCACACACAAAAACACACATACACACACTAAAGAATACATAAATATGTGTAGGCGTGTGTGTGTGAGCGCGTGTATATGTGTTACTAACATTCTTAACAGTCTCAACGTAAGCAATCAAACCGAGAGCTGGTCCGAGGAAGCCGCCAACGAAAGGTATAGTTGTGGTGTTGTCAGATTTTGTTAAATTGTCAATCATGACAGTTCCACTTACTAGTGATGCAAAAGCTGCCAGGCTTTTTAGGAAAATAAAAAAAATTTGATAATTTTCTGAATGGAAAATTGAAAAATCAATATAAGTTTTCCCACAAAATGAGAGCAGTTATCCCGATGACGACCGCATAGAGAATTCCAATGAAGATTTTGTCGGAAGGTTTTTTCGTCTTTTTTGCGGTTTTCCCACAACAGCAACCAAGATTTCTGAAGCAAGAGAAGCAGCAGCAGGACATTGACATGTAAATGATCACAGCGAGTCCTAAAGCCAGGAAAAACACATAAACCCAATTGGTATTGAGGACCTAGAGTGTAAATGAAATTTTTTGTCGTTAATTTGCTGACATACCAAATGTTACTTTGTCTCATTTATAAAATAAATGTTTTCAATATTCTTTTTTATAAGATAAAAACGGCTCAAACATGTTTCACATGTGATAGGCGGGAATACGTTTGTTATCGAACTCGGTCACTCTAACACAAGTATCAGAAGTTTTTCACTGTGCACCACCAGAACATACAATGGCAATATATTGATACAAACATCGCATTCGTAAGAGTAATGAAAGACGCCATGAAGACATAATTATTCGTTATAAATTTGATAAAAAAATAGGAAAGACTAAGAACATTAAAAGTGAAAATAAACGAATGATAAATGTCCTTCATACCGACTAACACTCACCGTCAGAACGAACGTGTTGACGCTCACAACGGGCGATGTCCAATTGATGTTCTGCAGATCAGTGAATGAGGCGTTGTTCAAGTCGATGTTGTAACCTTAAATGATTGTGTGTTAGTAACAAGCTACGATATTTAAAAATAAAAATCGGAGTAATAGTGCATTGTCAAATAAAAAACAATAAATATTAGTTAATTAAGTTATATTCAAAAAGGTTTGTCACGGTCAACAAAATCCAACCGGTTTTTAAAACTGAAGAAAATATTCCCGAGCCAGACAAAGTATTTAAGAAACTGTTGGTTATGGAGGACACGGCACTAATGGTGCTGGTCCAGAAACTCGTTGTGGCAAGGCTGTTCGTGATGTAGGCCGTCACATCGGGGACGCCACCAGCCGACTGTGCGACAGATACGTCGAAACATCCAACGACGATCGCCACGAAAAATAATTGTGCTGACGATTCCATCGATAAAAACATAAGTATAATTTATGTTTTCAAAAAAATACGGGCTAGTGAAGTTGCTGGTTTGGTCTGAACCATGTGGCTTTGGGGAAAGTTTAGGTGAATTCACCAAAGATACATGACATCAGGTCGGCTAAACTTCCAAATCTCAACTACATTTTGAATAATATATCTCTAAATTTAGTCAAATTAATAATTAAAAATCGTTATTAAAACGTAGCCGAAAATGTTCTTAATTTCAAAATTCACCAAACGAAAATTAGTGTGTAATGCAAACAGTTCCAGCAACTACATTGGCTTATGAGAACATAAGACGAAAGTAACAAAGTAGTAATGGCAATCAGAACTGCATTCAGTATGAATATAATTATGTTAGTAAGAAGAGTAAGAATTATAATAATCAAGTAATTTACACTCGGCTGCATCCAATCAAGCGTGAAACGAGCCTAGCGATCTATTGAAATTTCACTCTAAAACTTATGCTAGTCGTCATCGTTATAAAACTTCGCTAAAAAATTAAGATTCTGTTAATTAACATTTAATATTTACGCATCTTATATGAAGGTATAAATTCTCTAATAGTAATGATAATATAAACACACACACACATATATATATATATATATACATATATATATACATATATATATATATATATACGCATATACATATCTACTAGATCAATTTTAGTTTGAAATTATGTTCAGTTTGAAATGAATACGCATATATATATATATATACGCATATACATATCTACTAGATCAATTTTAGTTTGAAATTATGTTCAGTTTGAAATGAATTATATGCATTGTCTTGCTAAAATTATTCACATAGCAAAAATGCCTACAGCCGCATTGTCTTAGTTAGTTAAGTATTTATACATACACACACATATATATGGGGTACTGTAGCGTTCCTATATAACGCCTGTTATATCCATGTACTGTACACACTTCCTAAATGCAATCAAGCATTTAGATAATCACAATGTGTGAAGGCTGATGTATGTTGATCAATCAATCGCTACGAGAGATTGTTTTCTTTATCTGGATTAGTGCATATATATATATATATGGGTGTGTGTGTGTGCGTGCGTACGTATAATGTTAAGCAAGTATAACAAGTCACAACAAATGAAATTAACGATTTAATGGAAAACGAATTTGTTTAATAAAAAAAAGAATGTTTGTTTGTTTTAAAAAGTTATATGCACAGAAAAAAGAGGAAATTATTATTAAGAGCAGCCAGGCAAGCAACTTAGGGTCTTAAGATTGAAAAAGTATGCAAATATAACTTTGAACTGAATAAATTTTCATAAATTTTCATATAGATATGTGTGTGTGTGTGTGTGTGTGTTTGTGTATGTATGTGTGTGTTTGTGGTGTGTGTCTGCGTGCGTGTGTGTTTAAACGCAAGTAATGGTCAAGTATGATTTAAATGAAAATTATCATTATGTTAATAAATTCACATAAACATAATGGCCAAGTTTACATTTACACAATTACAAATATATAGAAGCTAATTAACTATGCACATTGTGAAACAGGTAAAAAAGATTTTACACAATTTAAAAATAAATGGAAATAAAAATATATGAAAGTAAATATGGAAGGCTTGAAGTATTTCTGATTTTCAACTTTAAAAAGAAAATGTATTCAGGCATGTAATAGAATCACTCCTAAAACATTTAAATATTTATCGGAATATTGTACATCAGACTGATAATTTCGGATTGTTTCTAGTTAAAAGTTGAAACTTATCTAAGATACAATCAGGATAACACGCAGAAGAAATATAAATAAATAACGAAATTCGCGAATTAATTAAAGAATAATTCTAACTAAATATTAACCATCGAATATTCATCTCGTCTCGTCTTCATATTATATAACAGAATCGTAACTTAATAAAGCAGCCTAATAGGAGTATAACAATCATATCATGCACTGGAATCATAAAGATCTGAATGGTCTTGGACCTTTTGGCTTCTTAAGTCTTACTGGAAAACCTAAACGAAATTGCAAAAAGAATAAACATTTATGAAACAATATAAACATTAATAAACAAGTATAAACATTTTAAAACTAATATAAACATATACAATCAAACATAAACATTTACAAACAAAAGCAAACAAATGAAAAAATTCATAACCAAACACAAACCTTTACAAACAAATATAAACGAGAAATAATTATGACAAAATAATTATGACAAAATTAATAATAATCATAATAATAAAAATAATAATAATAATCTTCAGTGGAATTTTTTCCTCATGTAAAATAAATACGAATAAATTATTGAAAATGCATATAAATAACGCTAACCAATGTTGACTCCTCTGTATATATATTCAACTGTCGGTGTTTTCTGTGCCAAGAGATGATTCTGAGATGTTTTTTTTATTATTATTCTTTATTAGGTATTACAGAATGTGACTGTTTATTTTGAGTAACTATTAAGACGATTGAATACTTGCTGAAATGGAAACAGTAAAGTTGGGTACAAAATTAAAACTCTGAGAGAAAACTTAATTTAAGATTATTTAAAATCCGAAAAGAAAAAAAATATTTTAAATTTGTAAAACTAACCTGGCCTGTTTGATTGAAGAAATAGATTAATTCAGTTTAATTAAATAATTAAATATAAGTAAAATAGTATATTTAGGCAATTAAGTGATACATATAAATATACATACACACACACAAACATACACACATGTACACACACACGCTTATGTTCACACACATATACACACACACACACACACACACACACACACACACACATAAGACGGTACTAACCAGCATACGTTTTCGCGGGGACTTTTGGTGGTTCAGAATGAATTGGGTAAGGCTGTTGATTTTGTTTGAAAATAAAAAACTCAAAAAACAAATTCAATTTTAAATTTAATTAACACTTCTAATTAAAATAAAAAATAATTATGAATGATTTATAACTGGACATCGTCGAATGATTCTCAACTCACATAGTCTGGATTGTCTGCATTTAAAATGTTTGAAAAAAATTAAACTAAAAAGTATTAATTAAGAAAAATTATTGTAAAAAAAACTAAAAACCGTTTACAAGTTAATTCAAAAAAAAAGAAAAATAAATGATGATTAAAATTATAAGAAACAAAAAACATGAAGCAAACAAAGAGAAGGAGACGAAAGACCTTCGTAAAGTGACCTGCTGTACGAGCCAGCACCACTGCCACCACCATTCCAATCATTCTTTCGATCGCCACTCAACGACTTGTTCAACGACAACTTCGTCTTGTTAGACAGACCTCTGTGGATGTATTTTTTAATAAACAATTAGTTTCATAATGATCGATACAAATGAATTATAGTCGTCTTTTAATAAGTAGCCCACACATGTGCCCAACTGTTTATATGCTATTCTATAGTCATAGACAAACTTACGTGCCACAAAAATTGCACTATCCACACCATCACACCACATCACACGACGTATGAACAACACCTGCTTATGTATGTAAGCCGCATCATACAACGCATCATGGCGCGAATGAAAATATCACAAAAGTGCAACGAAAATAGTTGAAAAACAACTACTGGGTTGAGGATTTTTGATGGCTGTTCATATTTTTGTAAGTGTTGTCGTCGTCTTTGTTGTTGCTGTAGCTGGCGTTTTTTGAAAAATCAACTTTAGGTGAAGGCGTTCGCGATTTCTGCAGCATTTCAATATATAATTAAAGTTTTCAATTCAGCTTTATGAACGTTCAAAGTAACTTAGTCTTTATCCATATTTTTCTCACATGTCTTACATTTTTACGAAATTTTAACAAACTCGCTCACGTCTGTGGTTGAAATTTTTGCAGTCTGTGGGCCTGGCAGCATGACGATCTTCGGCATCGTTGGTGGTTTGTACTTGGTAAGGAAATCATTTCGAAGTTTACCGTTGAAATTTTGTGAAAATAATCTTCAAAAATTGCGAAACAATTGATGCTTAATTAACTTTAAAAAATGCCAACCTGTAACTCCCAAAAAATTATTTAAAATACAAAATCGATAATCTGTAAAAGGAACTGTTACATCATTGGACCGTGATGCTAAAAGCCACATATTAACTAAAGAACAACTGTCAATCTCCTGAAAAACTCTACTAAGCACCGAGGATTCAAGCTAAGATAATGAAGCAAACAAAATACTAAAAACATTAGTACGTCATTTCGTTTTTCAAAATGCATTTCAGAGGAGAATAAATTTTGTGTAAGACTAAATCTAAAGGACTTGCCTAAAACAACCGTAAAACAAAATACTAAAAACATTAGTACGTCATTTCGTTTTTCAAAATGCATTTCAGAGGAGAATAAATTTTGTGTAAGACTAAATCTAAAGGACTTGCCTAAAACAACCGTAAAACAAAACATACCAATAGCAACAATTTACACGCTTTCAAATAGCATACATTCATTGTCAGTTGTATCGCAGCTGGCATTCAATGAGGTTGTATGCATAGAAAACGCATTTGAATGGTGAAAGTCAGTTTGACGATTGAAATGAATTACACTACTACTAAATTACCTCTAAATGGAGTTACTACTGACTGACTGGATTACTAAGTACAAATACTACCAACTAACACAGAATGCTACACAACTGATTACAGACATTAAATAAATGTCGTTAAATAAATACCACCGACAGCCCAATACAATTACTACCATGACACTCTCGTACTCGCCATCGTCTGAAGCATTGCCAGTCATGGACGGTCTGTTGCCGTAGTAGTGGCTCTCGATAGCCTGCAACTTCTCGCGGAACAATTTGGCCACAGCTTCATGCACGTATTGGTACTGTTCCTAGAGACATCATTATCCTTATCACTATCATCATCTTCGTCGTCGCCATCCTCCTCCTCTTAATTATCATCGTTATCACACACCCAACCCGCACACACACACACACACACACACACACACACACACACACACACACACACACACACACACACACACACAGATATACGTATACACCGCACACACACACGCACACACACACACACGCACGCACACACACACAGAGACACTTAAATAATTAACCAACAATAATTAAAGAACAAACATCAAGAATAATAATTATGCCTATGCAAACATACCCAGTTTAATAAACAAATATATAACTCTATATAAAAATAAATATATGTAAATATATAATTACTAAAAATAGAATAATAATAATAATAAATTTATAATAATAGGACCTGCGTTTGTACAATGGCCATTCTCTGCTTCCGCATCTCAACGATGACGTCATACAAATTAAATTTTTCCGTTATTTTCTGTAGATATGTAGGAAAGAATAGCAACAAAAACAACAACAATAATAATAATGATAACAACAACAACGTCAACAATGATAAATAAACTGCAATAATGAATTTTATATTAGTTGTATGACAGTATCAATTGAAGATTTGATAACACTTTTTTTGTTATTACAGCCCAAAATACGTTACACTAGCACACATAAAAAAAGCACTCGACTAGATTACAGCAATTATCAATTAGAAAAAAACCATGCAAATAGCAATATAACATTAGAAACAATAACATCAGCAGCAGCATAAGACTGACAAACATTACAATATAACATTAACAACAGCAACTTCAACCGCGACAGCAGTTGCTACCGAAAGCTACCAAATTTCAACAGACTGACCCCGTTATCGAGAAGAGCCTTCACGTAGTCAATGACCATGATGGTACCTGTCCTACCACAACCGGCGCTGAGGAGGTTAATTTGCAATAAACAATCAACCAATTAGTAACTCTATCAACTATTTAAAGAAATACGTTTCACATCGGATGGCGAATCAAATCTGTTAACGCAGGCGATATGAGTGTTATATTCTGCGTTTTTATAGCGAGGAGAGGAAGCTTGTATGTACTAAGAACTAACCTGAAACAATTAACCAGCCAACCGACCAACCAGTCAACCAATCAGCAAGTCAATCAGTCAATCAACCAACGAACCAATCAACCAATCAATCAACCAACCAATCAACCAACCAATCAACCAACCAATCAATCAACCAACCTGCAATGAACAACAAGCGGTTCAGGCCTTTCAATAGGATGAATCTCTCGCATGGCAGTGATGAGTCTGATGATGGAATCGATACACTTGGGGACGAACTTGTCGGGCCATTTCGTGTAGTGCAGATGAGTTACATTACGTTTCGACTTTCCGTCAGTCACGAGTAACTTCCGGCAGATTATCGTCTCCTCTGCTCTCGGGACTGGCATCTCTTCTAGCTGGAGACGTGAGGGTGTTAGGTTATTAATTAAGTATTCGATTAACTAATCATCCAATAGCTAATTAGAATTTAAGCTGTTAATGAAATTCATTGATAAATAAAACAGCAAAAGATTTTTTTTATCCGACCAACCGAATCTGGTCACTGCTGGGCACTTTAACGTTACGACATCACACCGGCCAATACAACAAAAGCAACCAAAAGTAATAAATATAAATACAAACTAACAATAAAAAAACAACAACAATAACTACCACATCTACGTTAACAAAAAATAACTAAATCATAAAAGCAAATTTGTTGCCTGTTAAGTAGTAAACGTACCATTCTAACGGTTAAAGATCCAAATTTCAACTCCTCTTCCTTGCTTATGTTCCAATAACGTTGACACTTCAACTAAGTTGTGTGTGTGTATGTTTGCTCGTCTGTGTGTGTGTGTGTGTGTGTGTGTGTGTGTGTGTGTGTGTGTGTGTGGTGTGTGCATATGCCTTCTGTGTACAAACGCTCTTCTATAAATACACTACTAACATTCGCTCTTACTTAAGATGGAAATATTCCAATTAAACCAACAATTAATTATCAATAATTATTATTAATTAATAAAATCACCGAAATGTAATACAATTCAAAGTAATTATTAGCACACCTTAGCATGAATGCAGTATAACTTCTTTGAAAACAACCATAAATAAGATCACTACGACATAAATATAATTAAGCAGAACCAATGAAAAGGTGAGGAAGTAGCGACGAACGAAGATATAATAACGAAATGAAATATGGCAAAAAATTGAGAACAGATTGACATAACACGAGACAACAGACATAAGATATAACGGGTATGAGATACAGCGAGTATGAGATACAACGAGTATGAGATACAACATGTATGAGATACAACATGTATGAGATACAGCGAGTATGAGATACAACGAGTATGAGATACAACGGGTATGAGATACAACGAGTATGAGATACAACATGTATGAGATACAACATGTATGAGATACAGCGAGTATGAGATACAACGGGTATGAGATACAACGGGTATGAGATACAACATGTATGAGATACAACGTGTATGAGATACAACAACGGGTATGACACAATGGAAATACCTTTGGCGGAAAACCCTCCATTTCTTGGCAGGCCATGACTACCATAGTGACGTCATAGTCCCAGATCATCGCCCAGAAATCGTCGACAGTTTTTGGCAGTGGTCCCTGGGCAGCTATGTAGTTCTGACTGGTTGTTGACTGGAAGTTTCAAAGTGCATGTGAGTTGAGCATTATTATTCACCATTAATCATCATTATTATATTTTAACAGACCACAAACTACAAAACAGGATTTACCAGCATTATAAAATGATTACATAATAATTGTTCAAATTTGTCATTTATCCACAATGTTTTTATCATTTTCATTGTATTATAATCGTAGCAGCAGTAGCAGCCACAGTTGCAGTAGTAATGGTAGTACAACTAGTGACCGCCAATTACTAACTTTGATGAAACTAGCGTTGATGTAATCAGTTTCATCTGACTTTCTCTTCAATTTGACTCGACAGAAATCAACTATAATAGTAATAAAATAGAAATAAAAACAAAATAATAATTAAAAGAGCAATAATGATGATAACAATGTTATTATGAAGAAGAACAGGAAAAATCTGAAATATAACACTACTTTTACAAAAAATTTTTCATAAAAAATTAATTAATTTATTTATTAAACCCAAAACCAAAAGTTGAACTGGAAAAAAATTAATGATTATTATAACTGATTATGAGATAAAAATTCTTTGGATATCTAATCCATCCAACATTCAGCTGCATTATTCATTCATCTATTTTGCAATGAATTCGAATACTTATTCATCCAATCATTTGCCAATATGTCTGTACACAAATACATCCATCCATTTTTATATGTATACAATACATACACTAATACATATCCATCCATCCGTTTATTCATTCATTCATTCATTTATTCATTCATTCATTTATCCATCCATTCATCCACCCATCCATTTCTTTAACTGTCCATCTATCAATCCATTTATCTATCTATCTATTGATCCATCCAACTTCAAAATCAGCACACAAACATGGAACGATGTCTTTGTATCTGTTCTTATGGATGTTGATTGGTTTCTCTCCCTCGCTGCTCGAATAGTGGTTCTCAGTTTTTATGTTCTGACTGAATTCTCTCAATTTCTAGAATAAATGTTTTTCATTGGTTGAAAATTTTGACATACATCAAAAAATTATTCACCATCATCATTATCAAAGCCATAGTGAAAACGTTTATGACATTTATACTCATTTTCATAACAGTAGCATTGATGTCATCATCATTATCCTTTGCAGCATCATCATTAACATTTTTCATATCAATAACATCATCTTAATTTCAAGCTTATTACTTTAACCCTTAAAGCAGTCATCATAAATTGTTTATTACTTCATCATCAAAATCATCACCACACCTCAACACGGTGACATCATCATCATCATCATCGCAATCAAATTATCATTACCATCATCATCACCTCGGAAACCTCACCATAAATTCAATCCCATAAGATTCGTCACCCCTTCGTTCGATTTCATCCAAATTTTGTTGATGCTCCAAAAATTTTCTTAAGTAATTCTCCATTAGAAATTTTGTCACTTTGTTATGTTTCCTTAAACTACAATTATAAAATATTTATTAATTATAATACTACAATCCTAAATGTTCCTTTTAGTTTCTTTAATTTAATTTTATAAAAAAATAAAAAACAAACACGGCCAAAACAAAACAAAAATATAATTATAACATTATATTATAAAAAATTGAAAAAATTATATTTTTCTAATAATTATATTATATTATTAATATAATAATTAATAAATAGAATAGTCATGAAAAATAAAAATATTGAGATAAGTACAAAGTTCATCCATCCAAGCAGGAAAAATTTTTATCTTTCATTTTTAAATTTGATAAAAATAAAGTTATAAAAATAATACAAAACATAAACTCCTTCCTCACTGTTGTAAGGAGGAAGCATAAAAATTTTTTTTATCATTTCATTTTTATTTACAGTAGAAGTTTAATTTAAAGAAACAAGTATCTATTATTAATATAAGGATATATTTATTATATATATATATATATATATATATATACATACATATATAGTAACCAATATTTAATAAGAAATGACACAACTTCCCGATAAAAATTTTCACACAATAATAATAGTGAGCGCAAAGCAATGTAAAAGTGAACTTGCACTTTTTAATTTAGAATTAAAAGTTGATTTAAATAAATATTAACTAAATTTATGAATTGACTTGGTTGGAACGTAATAAGAAAATCAACAACTACATTATCAAATGATTAATGATTAGCAATTAAAATATGAAAACATCGTTATCACATGCAACTCTAGCGCAAAAATGATCATGTATCTTAATCATAATGAGAGTAATATTAAACCATCATGATAACAATTAACCAACATTGTATCAACAAGCGTTGTATAAAAACATATTGTAGTTGTATTTATATATTACCAATATCTTAATAGGGTGGCCCTACCTACAAGTGAAAACATCGGGTCTCCCTGGTGATCTGTTTTAATGAATAAAAGATTATTTTGAATTCAATTGAATTGAATATGTTATATAATACCGTATAGATGCCAACATTAAAACACAATATGCATAATTAAAATAGAATATAAATATAACATTGACAGCAACTATAACATTGATTAATATTGTTATAATTGTAACAAACGAGATGATAAAGGTGATGGCAATAACGCCGACTACAATAAAGAAGAAGACGACGATGATGATAAGTATGATGATGACTACGACGATGATGATGAATACGAAGATGTGGATAAGGATTTGATGATGACGATGATGATGTTGATGGTGATGATGACGACGACGATGATGATTATGACGAAGAGTACGATGATGAGTGTCACCATGACTATGACTATAAATTTCAGCACCGACTTTATCGATCTTTCCGGCATTAATTGCATGAATGAACTTTTGTTAAAGACGTAAATAAATGTAAATAAATTGCGGAAGAATAAAAATAAATTGAAAGTACAAAATAAATAATGTGACAAAATACGACTAATAATCAAAAAAAAGGTGAATAATAAGAATATTAATACACGAAAGTAAGAAAAGAAATAGGAGTAACTTCAGGTGTTTGGTTTTTAAGACAGAAAAGTTCTGGAAAAATTAAAACATTAAATTAAAATAATAATAATAACAATATTTAAAATAATAGTAATGATATACTAACAATAATAATAATAGCAGTAATAATAATGATAATAATAATAGCTCCTCTACGCTACAGCAGAACAAATTCTTCTCAGCATAAATGCTTCATCGCGTCGATAAAAATTTATCGTGACGTCAAAGACTCAAAACAAAAGATGACGTGTGTGTGTGTATGTATGTGTGTGTGTGTGTGTATGTGTGTGTGGTGTGTGTGTGTGTATGTGTGTGTGGTGTGTGTGTGTATGTGTGTGTGGTGTGTGTGTGAGAGTGTGTGTAATGTGTGAGAGTGTGTGTGTGGTGTGTGTGTGTGTGTATGTGTGTGTGTGTGTGTGTGTGTGTGTGTGTGTGTGTGTGTGTGTGTGTGTGTGTGTGTGTGGGTGAGTGGGTCTGTGTGTGTGATGAAAAATTAATCTCAGTCCAAACTGATAACATACACAAACCGGAACATACAGTAATTTTTATAGAGATACAAAATAAGATACAAAATATATTAACTAACATAACATAGAAAAGATTTTAGTGGTTCAGTAGATATCTCTGTGTGAGAACTACTGCATCGTGGATCGGTTTTGACTTATAATATGGATTCAAAATCCCAATCTTTCAAAACTTTAACCTCCTGCGTTGTAAGAACTGTTATAGTTTTTTCGTCCGGCTTATTCCAATGTTCAATAACTCTAGAACTGAAAAATCTTCCATTTTTTGTTCTTACCCTTTCTTTGAAAAGCTTGTACTGGTGCCTTCTTGTGTTTTTATTTTCTGTAAATTGGAAGAATAGGGATGAATCTATCCCATCTTTACCGTTATCAATCCTAGTAACATCTCTTCTAGTCTCCTACGTTTGTCCAAAGCTGTCAGTCCACATCTCTTCAATGTTTCCTCATATGAAAATCTTTCACAATTGTTAATCATCCGGGTTGCCTGTCTTTGAACTTTTTCAAACACCTCTTTCTCATATTGCCAGTTAGGACTCCATGGTCGCGCTAACGTTTTATATAGATTTAACATTATTGATTTATCTCTGTTAACAATCGTCGTATTGTTAGCTCTTTTTGCTAGTTCTATGCATTGCCTGGTAGGTTGCACACTTTTGCCTAATATTATTCCAAGCTCGCTTTCTTCCGATGAAATCTTGAGAGGTAGGTCTCCAAATTCTAATATATTTTGCATGTTTTTTGGTTTATATATATATATAAATAAATAAATATATATATATATATATATATATATATATATATATATATATATATATATATATAAGCCCTTACAAATATATAAATGTAAATATAAGCCCTTACAAAATTATCCACGACCAACCGACGTAACTTAACTCACAAGCAAGAAAGTCAACAATGAATGTTGTATCTTTCCCCTGAGTTAGAGGCTAAAACCCAACCTTCACAATATATATATATATATATATATATATATATATATATATATATATATATATATATATATATATTGAAGTGCCATGTATAACTGCGTATATTACCTGTGTAGACAGCAAATAAATATTGATCTGCCTCGGAAATGCTCGAATTTTTTCAATAATTTTGGAGGACAAAACAAGCAAATGAACCATCCAGAAATGTAAATATATATATTATTTATACATAGGTATGCCAATTATGCCAATTGTACTATGGTTCAGTGAATGTATATCTACCTACGTAAGTAATTTTAATTAGTTAGACATGCTAATTCAACATTATTTTCCTAAAATAAAAATTCTTATAAAATTTTATAAAAAAATACAGAACACCTAATACAATTTTAGGTGTTCTGTATGAAAAATGCTTAGTCTCTAAGTCTAATCTATGTTAGGTTTCATAATTTCCTATGAGCTTGTATGTTTTGCTGTGTGTGTGTTTGTATGTTTTGTTGTATGTTTGTTTATATGTTCTGTTGTACGTGTGTTTGTATGTTTTGTTGTGTGTGTGTTTTTATACTTTATTTTATTTGTATTGTTGTATGTGTGTTTGTATGTCTTGTAGTATGTGTGTTTGTATGTTTCGTTGTATGTGTGTATGTGTTGCTGGAAGACAAGACATATCGGCATGACTCTCATCGATACCTCAACGTCGTCCTGGCTACTCTGTCGTCTCTAACGTAAACAAATGCCTGTTTTCGTTGGTGCGTTCTTACATGACATCAATGCTTTTCCTCCCTCTCTCTCTCTCTCTCTCTCTCTCTCTCTCTCTCTCTCTATCTCTCTCTATTTTTCTCTTTTAATATATATATATATATATATATATATATATATATATATATTGCTGGCACGTAATTATATATATAAATATATAAATAAATAAATAAATAAATATATATATATATATATAGATATATATATATATATATATATATATATATATATATATATATATATATATATATATATATTGCTGGCATGTAATTTAATCGGGAAAATGTTTTGTTAGAAAGTAAAATAGATTCCTTCCAGAAAACTCTAACTAATTTATACAATTGACAAAATTTTTGGGGTAAGTTTAATGTGAGCTTCAATAGGGAAAAAATATTTATACTAAGAGTCAGCCAAGATCTCCGAGCGACGACGAGACGAATTCAAGGATGATGACAATCTTGGCCCTGGCACTAATAGCCGGTGATTTATTTGATTTTTTATTGTATAATTTAGTAAAATGTGTGCTAAGCAATTTCAAATTTGATGATTATTTCAATTTAACATCTAAGTTATTAAAAGTTACTTTTTATAGCTATTAAAAACTTGAGCTGAAAATTTATTTGAATCTTCTTCGATAAACTTGATAATTTACATGCATTGGTAATTTTCTTTATCGTTTACAACTCATTTTTTTACAAATGTTATTTTTAAAGATTTCACAAATGTTTATATAACCATCATGTAACCATTTTCACGAAACCCGGTATCTCCATAATCTAATTTGATTTAGATCAATCTGTTTTAATCGTTCATTTCAGCTATTAAAATGAATCATGGAATTTTAAAACCATGGATCAGCAATTAAAAATAAAATCTTTCCAACAGGTGGATTTGTTGGGTCCAGCGGAAACAGCGAAAATATAAGAGTGAAGAGACAAGGTAGCGTAAATTACTTCTATCATTTTCCATTGATGATTCTTGCATTAAAAAAAATCGCAATATTTGTTCTACTCACCCAAATTATTTTAGTGCCTTTCATAAGAAAGACATTTTCAAGCAGTTGATATACGTTTCTGTTGGATGAAACGTTAAAAGACGCGACAAACTTTTAAAAAGCGTAATTTAAAAAAATCATTCTCTAAAGATATTAAACTTGTTTTAAAAACTGAAACCTCCAAATGAACGGTAGTGAACTCTGGGGCTCCACTCATCACCTGCCAGAACCTGACAACGACACCAATCTCGAAGTACCCGCCATACAACCTTTCCAACTTGAGCCCTGATACATTCAAGCTGTGTCCCGCTCTCCTGTACGACAAGAACCTCAGGATCGAACAGTTGAACACCCTTGCTTCTATCGCCCTTCTGGTCAGTTTGCCGAAACTTCACTTTACGATTCATTAGAAAATAAAAGCTGCTAATTTAGACATTTAATTAAATCTACGTTGTTATTGTACATTGAAAACAAAATTTGCTTTCTAATTATTTATCATAGAATTTTCAGATAAAATTTTATGAAGTGAATGAAATATTTTAAGACTAAATTGCTATCAAATTGTTATTTAAAATTTAAAAAATTAACGCAAATTTTCTAGGCATATTCCACGACAGCTGTCGGCAGATGGGCAGACGACATTTTGAACAACGTGTCCATCATCGCTCTTGGCCTGAATGACACTCAGTTCGCCCAACTGAGTTATTCTGCCAGTGCTCTGACCAATTTGGGACTGAACCTCTACCACATACCTGGTACTTTTGAAAAGGTTTGTGAGGGTTTTAATGAGTTTGTTTTTTTAAATTTTGCATTTTGTTTTAATTTGCATTGGTTAAATTAATTGAATAAAAATTTATGTAGTGTTCAGTGTTGGCAAGAACAATAAATCACAATAACAGTTAAATAAAAAGTAGACGGATGTATAATTTACAATTATAATTAAACAAACTAAACAGTAATTTACAAAACTGTTTATAATTGTTCTAACCCATATATAATAATCAATAAATAGGTTTTATTGAACCTATTCCGTCAGAACTAAACCAGCCGAAGGCACCTTATTCATTGAATAGTGTTAAATCAACGTTGTAATTACAAATATATCCAAATGCGTCGCCATCAACTTTGACAAACTTTTTGAACTTAATTATTGTTTTTGTACAATGGAGCAATCACCCGACACACATCAACCAGATCGTCACCCTCTACGCCAACTGGAAAACAAAGAATACAGCTGCACTGACCACAACTTCCGTAACAGCCCTGCAAGGTGTCATGTGTGGCTGCAACGAAACTGACCTCGGCCAACTCGTTAATTACGAGTAAGTTACTGGATTTTTATCTGAATAATACAATGGAATGCAAATAAAAACAAACGCGAAATTAAATAAAAAATGATTATAACGTTGCTTGGGATCAATATTTTGGTAAGAAATGGTACATTCAAAAGCGAACTGTAAGAAGTCTTTTTTAGTCATCATCAACATCATCGAGTTAAATATTTTGTAAGCTATTGTTGTTTATCTGATTGTTCTTTTTGTCATCGTGGTGGTGATGAATAGATTTTTATCATTATAAACGCCAAGCTCCGTTCTTCCGATCCTTGGCAAATACAATTGTTACAAGCCAACTCTGCTCATCAAATTGTACAACATGTCCATGCCCACCTACTCCAGCGTGGACAGCTGGAACGTTACAACCATCAAACTTCTTGGGAATATCGTTGGTTTGTTAGTTGGGTCGTTGCTGATGAAAATTCATTTAAGTTGCCTTATTTTGCGATTGTTATTTCATTCCTAAAGTGATAGCGAACATTGTAGTAAAGATTTAAATAACCTTGACCATTTGTTTACTGTTGAGAGCGATTTAAATTTTAATTTTTTGTTGGACTTGTTTGTGTTAATTAGAAACTGATAACACGTTCGTGTTAACAGTTGAAAGACTTAATACCTGATTCATAAAACTATTTTTTCTTAGCCGGCGTCCCCGTTGATTCCTTGCTGAGGTTCACACCTGAGAAACTGGCCAGCATCGTGCCTTCAGTTTTTGCTGTTCTGCCTCACACGACACTTGCTGTTAGTTATTTGTCGCTATCTACATTTTGGTCACTGTCTGTAATGTTTTTTATCGGTTTCGCCAAGATTCTAACTTGTAATGTTAATATTTCGAGTGAGTCATAAGACTTCAACTTTGATGGATTAACATTAAATACGAAAACAAAGTTTCAATAACAGTGCCAAAACACGCTTAAAAATACAAACAGAAAATTGAGTTAGTTCTTAAAACAGATAGCAATAATTTATAACAATTTGAACGCAATAAAATATCGGAAAAACCATTCAAAATTAAACGCACAAAATTAGAAAACACTCAGCAAAAAACTTTTGTCATAATACACAAACACACACACACACATTTCACAGAATTTGACCAACGCCCAGTTGCAATCCCTGACTACGGAACAACTTCTCCAAATAAATCACCAGCTTAAAAACATGACCTCCGAAAAACGTGACTTCATCGTCAGCCTCCAAAACAATCGAACTTCTGGACCGCCGCCCCCCCAATCTTCAACAGGTCCACCTAGAACAACTAATTCCCTGTCTAACTCAAGTTTTTCTACACTTTCCAACTCCTCGGCTACCACAAACTCTCCAACTGCTTCCAACTCAACCTTCGGATCAAACCCTTCACCTGGTGCCACCAATTCAACCAGCTCAAATTCCTACACTACAGCCAATCCATCGATTAGTGGTTCCGGTTCTTCGTCATCTTCTACCAATTCATCAACCGCCACAAACCCATCGGCCAGTACCAATTCTTCTTTGCCCGCAGCAAACTCTTCCTCGGCCGTCACAAAGCTACCGAGCTCTCCCACTTCGAACGCCACAAACCTCGGGACAAACGCTGATTTTACTTCAAAAACAGCAGTTCCTACTGGAAACCAAAGTAATATGGTTGTTACAACTGCTTCTGCCAATGCAGGCGTCACGCCATCGGCAAAACAAACCAACACGGCTTCATCAGTGAACGACGCCACAACTCCACCCTCCAACGTAGCCACAAACGCAGCCACCAACACAGACAGTGCCAAAAAGGATGGATTTACAACTGCAGCCATACCGATTGGAGTGATCACAGATGCAAGCAATAACTGGCAGGGGGAGGTAACTTTTCCTCCTATCATTGATTCTAAAAACATCGACCAGGTGGTGCAGAATTCCAATAAACTCACTCCAAACGATGTTGAGAAGATTGATCCCTCCGTTGTTAGTGATTTTAACTATTTTATTTCCTTTAAACGTTATGTAAAAATTATTATTATGTAAACGTTATGTAAAAATTATTTCATTACTTTGATATTTTATTATAAGTACCACTTTTGTATTAATGTCATCAAGTTATTACCATTACTTCATGTGTTGACCAGCTGAAAGACCCATCCAATGTTGAAAAGTTGGTCTCTAGCTCTGCAGACATGAGCGTTCAACTTGTAATTCTGAACTTGATCGAGGACTCCTTTGCAAATACAGATAAAGTTGATCCGCCACTTTACGCTGCGTAAGTCAATGACAATGTGCAACAATCACAATAAACAACAATCACAACATCCAAACCACAACATGCAACAACCACAACATACAATAACTACAATATGTCGAAAGAATGACAACTGAGATAACGACGACGAAAACGTTTTTTCTATATATGAAAATAATAAACTTTTTTTTATAAAAATCTGATGAAACCACGATAATACAAAGCGTATAAACAAAACAAAAATGTTCATTAACAGAACGGAATTATTAGCACTATCATCTTAAATTTACTCAGTTGTAGTAACTTTTATCACCAGTAGCGAATTTTTTTTCGTCCACTCAGAATATTTCCGGCACTGCCTGATCAATGCATTATGTCAATGTCTACTGATCTTGTCATCATTGTCATTGCCCAACCTAACTTCCATGTAGATGTTGATAAGGTTAGTATAGGATGGTGGCGACGATGATGGGGATTGCTAACGTGGTAATTCATATGAAAATGATAAAGATGATTGAGTGTAACCAATAGTGTAGCCCTTATGTGATGATTGTTTTTTGTTAACACTTTGCCGTGCACCGTCTCTGTAAATTTTCATTTCAAATTGTTGCAATTGCAACTCCCACAAAAACTGGTTACGATAAGAAAGTTTTAAACAACTTTCATGATAATGCGGAATGAGCAAAAACAAAAATGAATCATCAACTTTATCCAAAAACTACCAAGCTTCACAAAAAAATAACGGGCTACGTTACTGATTGTAATGACGCTAATCAAAACTATAACATAAACCAATTAACAAACTATTTTCACTATTCTCTTTCTTTCTTTTATTCATTCATTCGTTCGTTCGTTCGTTCATTCGTTCGTTCGTTCATTCATTCATTCATTCAACTCCTCAATGAAAATGATTCCATGATGCTCTGGCAATATAGATGCAATCTCTGGGCACTCAAGTTGCAGACGCTATCACGAAGAACACCAGCAATATTCAGACCCTAGGGAAAGCTCTCGCGGCAATCCCTCCATCGAATTTTCAAACCTTTCTCAACAAGCAGAAGATAACTATGGACTTCCTACAAAATTTCAATTCAACGTTACTAACAGAAGAACAGGTTTTGCACGATTTTAATTTTTTATTATTGAACGAGTTAGCTCAGTCGGTAAATGTGTCATTTTCGCATTGTCATAACGTGATGACCTTGTTCGAATGCTGTCTGTCCCAAACTCAAAGAACGAGTTAGCTCAGTCGGTAAATGTGTCATTTTCGCGTTGTCATAACGTGATGACGTTGTTCGAATGCTGTCTGTCCGAAACTCAAAGACTATCATACGCCGTGCGTGTATGATAAGATGTGAATGCAACAGTCTTAGTGGCACGAAAGTTTTACAATTAGAAGAATAGTTTTTTGTTAGAATCCTTATTATGACATTTCTGCATAATAAAGGATCAAAAGCGTTCATAATGTTTTGTTGGTAAGCATTTTATTTTTCTGTTTAACGTATTTTTGTGTTTTATGTTTTAAATCTTCTCAACTTAAAAAAATAACACATGAAAAAATGTGATGATTCTTGTGCTGTGAAACGCGTCTTTGAGAAAATCTCAGATTCTATAAAAGGCGTTATTTATACATATAGATAATAATAATAATTATTATTACTATTATATATTTGGTTTATATTATTCATATTTATGATTGTTCATTTTCACAGTCCCGTATCTTGTTGAATACCCTCAAAAAAGATAGCTCCGTTAGCATTTATTTGAAATTATTATTTTCTGATTATATTTATTTATTATTTGTTTTTATTATTTTAATAAATATTATTATTACATTATTGTTAATTTAATTATAATTCATAATAATAATAATTATTATTATTATCATTATTATCGTTATTATTATTATTGTTAATTATTTTAAACAAAATTATAGAGTTTTCATTTTATTAATTAGTTCGATATATATTTGGCTGTTGCAAACAAATAGAACTGTCATAAGTAATTTATACATAACAAAAAATTTGACAAAATTTTTTATTTATTCAAATTATTCATTATAAATAATTATTACCATGAAATTACAATAATTTATTCATTCTATCTTTTATATATCCTCCTCTCATCGCCATCGTCATCACCGTCAACCAAAACAGATCGATTTATCGAAAATGACGCCAGCGGAGAATGGCGCTCTTCTTAAATCCTTCCCCACAGCAGTCTGTCAATCACTCAAGAGTAATGACGTCACGAATTTAAGCAAAGAAGATAGCTTGATTGTCTTAACGAAGATAATCAATTCGTTGAACGACGTGAAAGATGTGGATGCCGGCCGGTCAGACGTCAGCCTGCCATCACAAAATGAACTTTACGACAAGGTCAGTTGGTCAGTTGGCTCGTAGGTTAGGGTTGGTCAGTCGATTGGTTGATAGATTGATTAAAATAATTTTTTTAATACATCGATTTATCGCCTTGTTCGATTCGTTATGTTTGGCTTATTTGTTAATTAACCACATTTTTGAATTGATAAAAACGTTAAATATTAGTCTCATCATCAATATTGACGTAACATTTTTTTTCAAGATCAAGTCTCCAGACTTTTTGAAGACCCTGTCTGTTATTACGATGAAACTTCTGCTGCAGAGTAATTTATTAACACCGCAAAGTGTCTTGGCTTTCGGAACTGGAATCTGCCCGATGATACAAACATCACATCCATTACCGAACTGTGCAACGGTCAGCTTGGTTTCAAATTTAAATTATAATCAGTGAAACAAATTATAGTTTTGAAATATCAGGTTTTAAATGAAATTTGTATTTGTGAGTAAACGAGCAATTTTTTTTTGTGATGCAGCGGTTCTGATAAAATCAGGGCTGTCCACCACACATTGTTACTTATTTAGTTGCAGTAAACGCTTGTACTACAAAAAATTGCGCATCTCAACGACAGGGCTTAATGGCGTAATGGTTGGAGGTGTCTAAAATTTTTTTGTGGTGACCTCCTTCAAACGTTGAGAAAGTGTTTGCGTATAAACGTCTGCATGTGTCTGGAACAAGTATAGTGAGAGAGAGAAGGAGCTCCTGAATTATATTTTTATTGATGGACAAAAATTGGTTAAAAATTGTTATATGATTATTATTAAAACTAATAGAAATGATACAAAATTTCAGGCCTCGACGTTATATGACGTGTGCAAGACAGACGTGAGAAACTACTGCGTTACCGGCATAACAAACACAATGGGAGGATTTCTGACGGCCTCCGATGTCAGTGCTGTCGATGACAAATCCTTTTCTGATCTCTGCCTCATCTACCTGTGTCCAAACTGTTTTCGCTATAAAGTTGGTTGATTCACTGGACATTTTTATCAATTTATTATCACTAATTTATCGCATGGCATGTTTCATTATAAACCAAATTTATTAATTATTGTTTTATTTCTTAATTATGCGTTCTAGAATGAGCTTGTAAATTTTTTAATAATTTTAAACCTCGCCAGTGGGCAACATCTGTTAAAGTTGTCTCAAGCGCTCTCGATAAGAACCCTAGCCTGATCACTTTGTACAGAAAAATTGATTTGCTTCTACCATATTTGAAGTTAATACTACTGACTATATTTCAATTTTTATATTTTATTCAAGTTTTAAAATTTTAAAAATAAGTATTCTAATCTAGTCACTGTACCTATACCAGAAACCTTAACTTTTAATTACATTTACCATCGCGTCGTTCAAATTAATGATTATTTAATTAATGATTATTTAATGATTATTTCAGTATTAGTTACTTCGACGCACTGCCGTCAGCAGCCATTCCTGATTTCTGCAGTACAATTGCCTGTCAGCGCGGAAGCTTCGTCTCCACTGCAGACATCATTCAGAAGATGAATTGGTGCCTTATGGTTAGTCAGTCAGTCAGTCAGTCAGAGTCAATCAGTTAGTCAGTCAGTCAGTTAGTCGGTCAAAATATTAAAATACATAGAGATTTCTAATTAGAGATAATCATCCCATTATCATATGCAACCATTTGAAATAACTTAGTAATCGTCTATAATAATAAGCGCTATAAAAATATCCACATCATCATCACATCATTGTATTAAAACCATTCGTTCATCAGAAAAACGTGACGATGAGGAAGTTGTCGTGCTCAGGAAATGACTACAGTCTCTTCCTGGCCCACACCCGGAAACAGTTTTATGACTCCAACGTCTCGTGCGACAGCGTCAAGGCCACCCTCGACGTTCTTCAGTCCACTGTTCTCGATTGCGGCGCTCGGGGAACCATTTATAACTGCGTCAAAGGTCAAAGGTCAGTACACAGGGTGATGACGAAACGATTTATAATAGTTGTTATAATGACAATAATAATAATAATAATAATAACAACAACAACAACAATAATAATAATAATAAATAGTGATTAATGATAACAATAATAACAACAAGTTTCACAACGGTGACTGATGTGGCGAAACTTGGAACGCTCATTGGCCAGATGTCTGACAGTGAATTCGCTAATATTCCCAAAGTGAAAAATTTTTTGTTTCTTGCGTCATTGTTATCATCGTCACCATCGTATTTGCTACATTCATCAACGTCATCATCCATTGCCATTTTCATCATTTTATTTTTTATTGTAATTGTCATCACACACCAATCTGTCGTTGTCACGTTATTATCACCATTATCATCAATATAATTGTTGTAATCATAATCACCATCTCACTTCAACTATCACCACCACCATCATTTCATTTATGTGTGTGTGTGTGTGTTTGTAAATGCGTTACTAACCATAACCCGTCCTAACTACCTCCAGAAATATTTGTGCGGGCGCTTGAGTCGGTACAGTAAAATCATCGACAAGTGGCATGCAATTAATGACGACAAAACGGAATGTGGCTTCAGACCGCTGAACCTCTGCAACAACTTCGACGTCCTGATTTTCAGATTGAAAAATGCTGACGCCTCCGCTGATTGCAAGCCTAAAACCGCCAGCAGCAGGAGGAGGAAGCGAGATGGTACGCTCGTTTGCTCACTTGGTCACCGAGTTAGCTCAGTCGGTAGAAGTGCCATGTCTCGCGCTGCCATTACGCGATGGCATGGTTCGAATACTCTCTGAAACTCAAAAATCATCATAAGCGTATGATGCGGTGCTTGCGCGTGCATAAATAATGTGTATGTGCGTCGTGTGGTGTGGATAGTGCAGCTTTTGTGACACGAAAGTTTAATTACAAATATTGCTTTAAAATAACTTGTAAGCAGGGCTGCATTATAAAGAATAATATAAACTGTTTGTTCGTCCATTATTTCGTTCACTCGTTTGTTGTGACGGTTTTTGCGCTATTACGAGGAATTGTATAAATCATCATTATTACTTCAGTGAACAATGAAAGAAACATCTTCTAACACCACCACCAACGCCACCATCACCACAATCAACACCACCAACACCAGCAACTGCCCTAACGTGTTCGACGGTCAAGAGCATCGTGAACAATCTGCCTACACTGGCGGCCAGCAGTCTGTCGACACTTTCGAATGCCGACTTCACCAATTGTGTCAGCATTCTTGGCAAGGTCCGTGGCTTCTCACAAGCTCAATGGCAGGCTCTGGCTATTGTCGCTAAGAAGGTTGTTTGTTTTTTTTTTATAAACAACATGATGATGATGACGACGACGACGGAAATGATGAGGATGTTGATGGCAAGGATAATGTTATGGCAATAGAATTTTACTGTTCTGAAATAAAACGCTGATGAAAATAAAAAGAAATCATTAAATGTGCCGTTACTGTAATGTTTATTTTAAAAAAATTCAATGTTCTTCCAAGAAGAAATTAAATAATTATAGCAGTGCAATAATAATTAACCATTTATGCAGTTAAGATCATCTTTAAAAACTTATCTCACACCCGATTATTATTTTTAATTATATTTTAATAAATTAATTGCATCGAAGGTTTTTGGAGAAACATCCCGATGGACGTCTGAGCAGATTATCAGTGCCGCTGGCATTGTCTCTGGTCTCAGTGCGTCTGATGTCTCCGCCCTACTGCTCACACCAATTGAAACTGTCTTCTGCATCGGCAACTTTGGAAACTGGAGTGATGACAACGTTAGGGTTTATGCCTTCGTGGGATGATGTTTGATTGGCGATCAAATATTTGGTCGCGCTGTTTACGTACTTGCATCTGATCGGGCTTTTTTGAATTTCTAAAATGATGTATGTGTTAGCGCACATAAATACATATATACACACGTACACACACATACACACACGTACACACACATACACACACGTACATCCACATACACACACGTACATGCACATGCACACACGTACACACACGTACACACACATACACACACGTACACACACATACACACACGTACACACACATACACACATGTACATACACATACACACACGTACACACACATACACACACGTACACACACATACATACACGTACATGCACATACACACACGTACAAATGAACAAACGCAGCTGGCGGCTGCATTCACAAGCACCAAGACTAACCTGCTTTCCGGCAAAGTGAGTTCAGTAACCTCAGGTCAACTGAAGTCCATGGGTGAGGTCATTTGTGGGGCTACTGTCCCTGACCTTAGTCAACTTACTGCTGCCGCTGTCTGGTTTGCTCTTGATATATTTAATTTGTTTTTGTGGTTTCGATATTTTAATTTTATTTTAATGTTGGTATAATTTTATTTCCTTCTGCTGTTCCTGGTGTTGCTGTGTTTGCCATGCTTATATTGATACTGATTTTCAACTGTTTCAATTCGTCATTTTTCATTTTCGATCGTCCTCGATACAACTTTTCTTATTACCGTAAACATCATCATCACCACCGCCACCATCATCATCATTAGCATCAACAACATCACTATCACCACCACCACCAACACCACCATCATCATCATCATCAACACCCATATCATCATCATCATCACTACCCTCACGACAGTGACGTCATTTTGTACCTGGGTCAGTTGAGTATGTGCGACGGACCACAGCTGACCACTCTGATCGCCCTAGTCAAAGCCGACACGTGCTACGGTTCCAGTGTGGCCAAATGGCCGGCCAGCAAAGTGCATATTATCGGCAATCTTATCGGTATTTTTCGGTTTTCAGATTGTTTAATTTAATCGGTTTTATTCGGTTAATTAGTGATTTTATTACAAATCGGTACTGATTCATTAACTGTCAATGGTGTTTTAGGTACTATGTATTAAATAAAATAAGTTTTTTTTAAATTTAGTTGGTGTTCTGCATGATTAATTTGATTTGATTTGTTAAGTTATGGTCTTTTACCTACATCATTCAATTTAATTTTATAAAATTTTTCAATCTGGTGTTTAATCGATTTTTTAAAATACCAATAAATCGATCTTAATTTAATTTATTCAAACAAAATAATAACGACAATTAATTGCTATTTTATTTTTTCATATTGTTTCAAAAAATGAATGAATAAATTTATTTGTTGTCGTTGAGGCGGTCTAAGTAAGGATGACCTGGCCTCACTGTCGACGGATCAAGTGAAGTCCATTCCCTCTTCGTCGATCCCCTACATCCCCATCCTCACCTTCAATGTTAGTCCGCGTTGATTCATCATCATTATCAGTATTGTTGTTGCCATCATCATCATTATCATCACCATCATCATCGTTGTTACTATCGTCATCATCGTTATCATCCTCGTCATTATTATTAACGTCGTGTCACCATCATTGTCAGTATAAGACTGACTAATCAACCAACCAACCAAACATCCAACCAATCAACCATCCAACCAATCAAACATCCAACCATCCAGCTAATCAACCAACCAGCCAATTAATCAACCAACCAGTCAATCAATCAACCAACCAGGGTTTTAGCTCATCTCAACTGGAAAGTATGGAAGTTAACCAGGCGGCTTTCATAACATCTGACCAGCTGCAATCACTGGACCCGGCCAAGCAACAAGTGAATAATAAAATTAAATGCTAAAAATACAGTGTGCTGTGTAACGCGTAGCTTATATGTGTGTGTGTGTGTCTGCGTGTATGTGTGTGTGTGTTTGTAAGTGTGTGCGCGTGTGTTTATGTGTCGTTGGTATGTAAGACAGATCATTGACGTTTTGACTTTTAACTAATCAATAATAATTATATAACTGCTCTTAACCAAGGGTTGTATAATACTCTTAACTGCTGTAACAATCAAAATAATTACTTTCGTTACTGTCGTTACTGTCATTACTACAATTTAATCACTCACTACTTCTGTAACTGAATTTACTTAGGTGATCAGGAACAAGTTGAAGAGCATTTCATCCGAGATCAGCTTAAACGTACTAGGAGTTTCATACAACGGTCTCTAATAACATTTGTTATAATAATAATAATATATATCACAAGTAATAATATTTATTTTATTTTTATTATTATTACTATTTTTGTTGTTATTAAATATATTAATTTTTAAAATTTATTCCTCCAGACGCATGTGTGTTGTTCAGTGGAATGTTGCTTCCAATGGCTACGATCATCCAAGCCATGCTCTTTCGCATTTGAGTCGGTGATGGATGGAAAGTGTCAATAAATGAATCAATTATTGATTGATATCAATTGATTGATTGATTGATCGATCGATTGATTGGTTGGTCGATTGATTGATTGATTAACTGATTGAACGAGCGATTGATATTTCTATTGGTTGGTTGGTTGGATGAAGTTGTTGCATGATGATTGGGTCGGTTTCTGAATGAACGAATAAATGAGTGATTGAATGAATGGTTAAGTTATTGGTTGATTGATTGATCAGACAAATGTATTGGACAAAGAAAAAATGAATGAATGAATGAACAGTTGGTCGGCGGTCAAATGAATTGGTTTAAAGTTAATGGATTGATTGAATAATAATTGAATAATAATTGACAGATTAACGAACTGATGGATTAAACTATCAATTAAAATGACTGCAAAAGTAATTGATCGATTGGTTGGTTGATTGACTGATAAAATAACAAATTAATCAATCTTTGGTTGGCCTGGGTTGACGATTTGATCGCTTGATAAAAGATTTGATTGAAATAGTTCAACGTTCAAAATTCGAACGAGTAAATGATGAACCTTTATTTAAAATCTGGTTGAAGGAAAAAATTAAATGATATAATTATATGCAACAGTTATTCAGTCCAAAACCATGGAAATTTTTTATAAGAATTGAACTATCTTACTGGAAAGCGTGACGTCATTTTACTACATATAATTTTTAGATTTGGTGGTGGACCATAATTAATGATTATATATTGTTGAAGTTTCCCTCGCAAATAACGATGAATGTGTGGCGTCATTAAGATGGAGTGAGTGCAATGGGACAGTTCTTGTGCTAAAATTTCATTGTTCAGATTTTACAGATATTCATTTTAATTATAGGAACCATTTCTATGTATTAGATAAAATAAACTTTATTGTAATTTATTCTGATCATCATATATTTTCAATGTTTTGATGTTGAACAGTGAATTTTAACGTTTCAATGTGAAAATGTTTTATTTTTAAATGTTTGCAATCAAACGATCTATATAAAAAAATTAAATGTTTATTCTTAAAATCTGCATAAAATTGTTATAAAACTGTTTTGAAACTTGAATTCGTCAAACTTTTATCTACTTAAATTTGAAAAAATTTATATTAGGATGTTTTTTTTCCAAATTTTTAATATTTTAATTTTTATAACTGCTTTTCAGTGCAATTCATTTTTTGACGTTTTCAATGCATTTACATTTAGTTAAAATTTTAAATTTCATTTATAAATTTGATTTCAAATCTCATCCCTATATCAGCATAATTACAAATATTATTACACCTAACATCAATTCTCTACCGTGATTAATGTCACGGCTATGAGGTCAATACAAATACAAACAATATAACATTAATACTTTACATTTATAAACAATTTTTAGTTATTCATATCTATGCAACAACCATTTCTACATCAAACTATCAACCAATTATTTATTAATTTAATGAACATTTTCTCATTTTTTATTGTTCGTATACAAATTTCAATGAGCCCATTTAATAACTTTATAACTTAACTAAACTACTAAGAAACGTTCTACCGAAATCTGGAAAAAATAATTGGCAACAAAGCATCAATTTTTGTATTATAATGGCCCATAAATTCATTTAATTCTATTTATTCATCTGAATTTGAAGTAGCAACACGTTGTTGATTAATATGAAGCAAAAGTTGCCAAACTGACTGTGGTCTTTATATTCGTTTCATGTGAATATGCATACGTTCCTTTTCTATCTACATGCGCGTTTTACATATTAACAGTTTTAAACGTATATTTATATTCATTTATCTGTTTAATTTACTATTAGTTATTTCAATAGTAGATTTAGTCTGATTTCGGTTTAATAAAAATTAGTTTGACTCATTCGAAATTCGTTAAAACACGTGAATGCCATGATTATGAAAGCCACCGCAAGTTCTTTTTCCACCGTTGGTTTCTGCCAGTTAGATTACCAAATTTGTTTGCTTTCATAATCGTTATTATATCTGTTACCTATGTATTATAAATTAAAAACATTATAATTAAAAATATTATAATTAAAAATATATTTTTATTCTTATTTTGCAATTTATTGCTTCCAGAGTTCCCATGGATAATTTGCAATTTATTGCTTCCAGAGTTTCCAACTCTGCTCTGCTCCATGACGGGAGCAGAGCAGAGTTTTTATAAATTGCGCTATACAGATACAAATCGATTGACTGGTTGATTGAGCATTAGCTGTCAAGTTTCCACTTTCATATCATAGAATCATAGATGCACGCGTGGTATGGTGGCAACAACCATTTAAAAGTTACAGATTGTATTAAGGAACAATAGGTACGCAAGCATACGTGCGTCTTAAACATTCAAATTCTTCAAATAATAACCAACACCAGATATGACAATGTTAAATTATTTATTTACACACGCTTTCATATATATGTCAGCTCGGTCAATCATTTACTTGTTCAACAAGTTTATCCATCACCACGGAATAGACATCACGACTGTATCACATATTTCATTCAAAATGGTCAGTTTAACCACACCAAGGCAAGCATTCACTGGTCGATAACGATGATCACATGATAGTAGAATGAATGAAACATGTGATAAGATGATAACAGTCTGCGTGAGAAATGGTACTGACAATCTGGGGAATAATTACAAGGGAAACAACGACGAGAATGATGATAATATTTATAACATGGTATTGTATGATATAAATATGATTAAAAAGATGATGAAGATGATTGGAGATATTGATGACGTCAGGACTGATGTAGTTTGCAGACGTCTTCATATGGGATATCCTTCAACTGTCGCCCGTTTAGCGGTCCCTGTATAAAAAAATGTACGAACATTTAAGTTTTCAAAAATTTGAATGAAGATGACGAGTATACATACACATAAAACTATAAACATGTGTGGAACACACACACACGCACACACACATACATACATACACACACACACGAACAAAATAGAAAAATGAATTAAGAAAACATAAAACACATACCGCATCTATGGTGATATTGCATGAAAATGATTCAATGTTGATCTGTTGTAGAGTTGCCGTATGCCCTCTGTAGGCACCATTCACTATGTACACCTGCTTGCCTGTTGGTATCAAATTAAAATTTAAAAATTCAACTAATAGGAAACAGAGATTGATTGCTGAACCACTGTCCATAACAACAAAATTAATACTAAAAAATGATACATCTAAAGGAATGATAGATATAAAGAAATGATACATGCGAAGAAATGATAGACATAAAGAAATGATACATGTGAAGAAAAGTCGCACATAAAGAAAGCAAAAAAATAATGATCTTTAAAAAGACAAGGAGAGAATTGAATGAATAATAATTTTAATGCAGGGCAAACCAACCGATAGATGGCAGAACGGTCTCTAAATGAACCTGATCCAGTTTTATCTTGTCACCTCCCTCCAACAATTTTACCACAGCTCCATATTTCTCTACCACTTCCTGTGTAGTAGAAGTTTTCTATTACTACTACTACTACTGCTGCTGCTGCTACTACTACTATTACTACTAACAACAACAGCAGTACTAATGTTTTTTTCAAAACAAGAGTCGATTGTTAGTTTGTAACAACAGACACAACTAAACAAAAAAAAACTTACGTTAAATAGAAATTACGACAAAAACATAAATCCCGAATAAAAAAATCCTAAATGAGTAAAAGGTAACAGCAATGATAAATAAAGTCACCTTGACGACGGCCTTCTTTTTGAAGTACTGCTCACCAGCTTTCTTGGTGATGATCTTGATGACAATTCCTTCAGTCAGCCAGTAATCTTTCCGACCTATTTTGGCCTTTTTAGTTTCTTCCATCTGAGAAACAAAAAAAAAAACATAAACATAATTATGGACGAAAAAACAACAATAAAAATAATTTATGTACGTTTGTGTAATTGTTTAATTGTATTTCACAGATGATGTACAATGATAGTTTCAGAAATGACAACGATGGCGTTATGACATTAAATTAAGGGCATGTTGTAAAAAAATCAACGATGATGGATGATTACGGTTTTAAAAATAAGATGATAACAAAGATTATTTATTTGAGAATAGGCAAATGAAAGGATGAATGCATGAATGAACGAATGTATATATGAATTAATAAATGAGCCTGTGAATAAATGAATTAATGTATACATGGATTAATAAATGAGCCTGTGAATGAATGAATGAATGAATAAATGAACGAATGAATGAATGAATATGAACCAACCTTGATAATTTCATCAAGAGCCGATTGTTTTCGTTTAGCATTGGACGATGATGACGATGAAGTACTCCTACTACTGCATGTTGACATTGTCTCAAGGTCATTGAGGTCATTTTTCGACGAATTCAACTTGTTCTTTGATGAGGACAACGATGACGACAAAATTGATGCCGATGATGTCAGTCTGTTTCGGATGTTTTTAATGTTGTTGACTTTAATGTTTACTTTAAGCATTATTTTAAATTTAAATAGAAAATTTTGATAAAAAGCAATGAAATAAATAAAAATTCATTTTAATTAAAATTTAATAAATATTTAATGTGCGTAAAATAGCACATGTTCACTCATTATTCTCATACTCAGGTTATATACAACTTGAGTTAATTAATCGTAATATGTTATGGAAAAATTTACAGACAAGCTATTTGCTTGGTAACTTTGAATAAAAATCTCTTAGCATGTTGATTTGACTTATTTAACTTTGAATAATAATAAAAAGAATATATTTATTTCATTGTTTATACAAAAAATAGAATTAAAAGAATGAAAAAGATGAAAAATCTTAGTGTGTATATAAAATACAAACACAGTAGTGATCTTGCTTGTATCAACAGCAAGTGGGATCTTGAAGACCACTTTATCATCCTCACTTGCCTTCATCAGCTCTGTAGGCTTGTGGATGCTGGCAGCCTCTACTCCATCATCACCATCATCATCACTGTCTTTGTCATCGTCGTCGTCATCACCACCACCATCTTTATGTCTCCTCATCCTGTCCCTTTCAATCTGCTGCTGAATCATCTTGTTCCTGCGATCTTCATCGTCCACGTCCATCTTCGACTTCTTCTCCTGAGCTTGCTGTCTCCTGATGGCCTCTGGGGTCCTATCGATGTACTGGATGAACCATCCCTTCTCTGTTTCGTCCACTGTGCAGTAGCCTTTAAAGTGAGTGTCAGTTAGTTGTAGTCGTTGTGGTCATTATTTTTCAATTGTTACAATTGTCCTACCTCAGGGAACCGGGTCTCTGGACGCAAAACGAAGATTGATTGATTATTGAAACAATGTTATTTTTTTCTTCATTTCATTTTTCAAAAGATTATTATGAAAAATTAGAAACTAAAAACACCTACCAGTGTACAACATTTAAATACTCAACATAATGTACCGAGTTTGCCTTTCCAAAAATATTATGAAGTGTTATGGGGAATCAAGTTTTAACTAAAATAACTTTTATAATATTAGAGACAACAAAAATTTTTTCACTCAACCTTGCCTGCCCATCCACTTGACAAACTGTGTGAGAGTGACCCATTGTGTCGCATTCATGTGCACATGGTGTCGGTCGGCAATGTATTCCTGGTAGACAACATTTCCGTGGACTCGTTTTGTGCCAAATCGACGTCTCAGAAGTTCAATGAATGTCTCAAAAAACTCCCTGAAAGACAAAAAATTACTAATATTAAAAAAGTTACGTACATTTATAATTTATAATACAGACTAAAAGAAAAAAATTGTTGGTATAAAATTAAATTATTTTTAATATTATAAATAATATTTTTTATACTGGTACTGACTGTGAAAATGTGTTGACAAATTTGCCAGGATTGTCAGCAACAAGCAAAAGTTGCCTCTGGTGAGATTCTGACATTGTATGACATTTGAACCCATTCTTAATTAAAATAAATAAATTAATTGAAATAATATAAATTTATAAGCCAATGAGAAAAATAAATATTATTTTAATAATTAATTAAATAATCAAATTGGTTGTTTTTGTAAGAAAGTAAAATAAGTTCAATTTGTGTTGTATGAGTATGACTGAAAATGAAGTTGTATGAAGCAAATTTTTCAGAAAACAAATTGTCTTTAAAATTTAATAATAAATAGAAACACAATTAAACTTTACAGTATAATTATAAAAAAAACAACTATAAGTGTGAATAAATGAAAAAATTAATTAATTAATTAATAAACTAAATTACTAAATTAAAAAAAAGACGCACCTCATCTCGGCACTGTTTCTGGCACATCTGGCAGTACCATCGCAGTTTCTGAAGTCCTTTCGCCTTAATTCTGTTACTTATAGCTTTAGGAGATAAAAATCCAGGTTTCTCTTTACCCATTATTTTTAATAAAATATTTGTTTCGAGTATTTGCTAAACCTAATTTAGTAAAAATTTAACTAACGTTAATTTAACATTACTTGTTTACAATGAAATAATATTTTTAAAGCGTTTCGAAATAAACCACTGATACATCCATGGAATAAACCCAAAATTTATTTCCACCACTGTGTTATATATATTGCAGTTTTAGAACAAAGATGACAAATAAAACAAAAAAACAATAAAAATAATCAATTAAAATTAATTATTTAGGAAAATTAGACTACCCTAGCGGCTATCACCGTATACATGAAAAAACTGTTCTTCACGTTGTACGTTGATTCACTAGATTCATTATATTTCATAGATTTTTTTAGTGGCAGGCAAATATTAATAGATGAAAATGTTTTAGAAAACTCATAAATCCCAAAATCACTAAATGCGACTAAATTAATACATTTTATAAACTCATATAAATGAAAAAATAAAGTGGTTATCGGTTTAATAAAAACAGCAGAATCTATCTGGAATGCTAATAATTATTATGTTCATAATATGTAACCCCAACAAACACCAAATAAAAGGAGTTCCACCGATCTTTACATCTTTACCACCAAATGCACCAAAAATCCTCTGGATTTTTTGGTTTTAAAAGTGCGTAAGTAACCCCTTCTCCTACAATAGGCCCATACTTTTTATTAAAATTTTTATAATCATTCAAAAAGACCATTCATCCGCTTTATTTGTTCTCACGTATTCATAACATAGTATTAGGTAGTTGAGTCGAGATTCAGTGTCAATAAAAAAACACGGAATTTTAACAGATATCAAAAGAACTGAACAATACAACGGTTTTGTTTGAGTAAACAAAAATTATATTACTAAATATAAATATAAAAATGAAAAATTTAAAATAACAAATACAAAATAATTTACAATTTAAATAAATAAATTGAAACAATCAGTCAATCATCCATTAATGCAATGTCACTGTTCATTCAAAATGAATTTATCTGCATTATTCTTCCTATCAAATTTGTAAACGGACAGATTGAAAGCAGATGATTGATGAGGCTTGGGCGCAACCAGTTCGTCACCAGGTTGAGGATCATGCTCCGTTTGTTTTGCTGACGTGATGCAGTTAACCACTTCCTGCCGTTGAGGATGCTTGGACATTGTGACGTCATCATCAAGGTAGTTATCATAACCACCCCGATCGATTTCTTCCTTAATGCGAACACCTGACATGCGATGGAATGCCTCTCCCGGGTCGTACATCCAATGTGCATGATGACTCTCACGATTGTGTTGTATCAGTGGTGGGGACATAAACTGAGGTTCGTCTGCTGTTGAACCATGGCTCTGGGGAAAAATGGTGGACGGTAGCAGAGATGCTAATGATGTAGAAATAATACCATCGTAATTTTGAGTGGCATCCATGTTATAAATCTTCTCATTTTTGCTAATAATATCGCCAGTCTTCTTTCTTGAGTTCCTCTCAACAGAAGACGTTTTTAAACTTGTAATGCTAAATGCCTCACTAGAAGAAACATTACTGCCATTACCGATATTAAAACTAGCAGTGGCAGATTTATTTTTCTTTTTTTTTACAGCACCCACTTTCTCACCATCTGTACCAGCATCCATCTCCAACTTCACATCAGCATATTCTCTCTTTGATTCAACTTTCAGGTCCAGGTCAGGAAATAAAAAATCAGAATCACAGACCTCAGTGATTCGTCCATTCAAATAATCTCGAAGTTTCTTGAGAGCGGCATAAAAGGGTACTTTATCCACGGCTCTTGGTAGCTGGGAACAACGAGCACTCGAAGAAGGCATCACATAAATCACCTGCCATCGCAAAAATGTTTAATTAATTTGTCTGATTAATAAGTGAGTTGAAAAAACAAAGCAACAAGCTTATAAAATGGTAAACTAAAAATAAAAATTATATTCATAGCAAGATTATTATATAGTGAACGAATTTCGTACTGTATTGGTTCCTGGAAAAGGGTCTGGTTGTTTGCCAATGATGAATTTCTTGTGACCACAGAAGACTTCATATATGCCTGGAAAATTATCAATAATTCAGCTTTGAATCAGTTAGGAAAGATAAAACATCCATCATATTTTTTAATAATTTAATAAAATCAATTGAAAGTAATATGAGATTTGATAATTTGCAGACACTTGCGGACCTGAGAGGAGCAGTGCAGTTATTAGAAGTCAGTGAAATTCAGTTTTTACACAAAAAAACCCATTCCATGTAGATAATCAAATAAAAGTTTGTTAGTTTCTTGGCCTCCACTCAAATTTCAAAATTTTAACATTTCCACAATTTTGCCCAAGTCAAAGTTGTCTAGATCTACCCGTTTGGAAATGAAAAAAATAAAATAATGAAATAGAGTTTGTACCTTTCCCATTGAAGACAGCTATCTTAGGCTGGTATTTTGCAATTTTTTCTTGCAAAATTTGTGCACCAATTTGTATTTCTTTTCTAGTTCAAGAAATATAAAAAAACTTTATTGCAATTAATTCCGTTTTCAAATTTAGCACACTCAAACTTATAATTAATATTGACTAATTACAGAATTTAAAAAAATTTTGAATAACAATATTAACTTAGTTAAATCTGCACTTCCCCTGGATGTTCGTTCCACAATGTTTGTGAACCCAATGCCAAAGTGCAGCAGCTTGGCATCATCATATGCATTCATCGGTTCGGGGATGAGACCAGATAAATATAAACACTTCCCTGGAGATAAATTCCTCATTTGAAATGTTCATCATTTAAAATTTTCATCATTTTAAATAATCAACATTACAACATGATGTTATTGAATTTTTCATGACACACTAAAGAAATAAAAAATAGAATACAAATATTCGGATCAAGATTTCCATTATCAAAAAAAAAAGGAATATGAAACTCAATGGAAAGAATTAATAATACAATACTTTTAGACTTTACATAAAAAAAGGTTTTTTTGGTGAGAGGATTAACATTGTAATCCAGGAAAAAAGTTTTTGTTACAAAGAAGATTAACATTATAACACAAAAAAAACGTTTTTTTTTACTAAGAAGATTAGCATTGTAACCCAGAAAAAACTTAGTTCAATCTAAGCAAAATTAATAATGAATGACGTACTTAAGAAAAACTAATAAATCACAAAAAAACACTCTGAATATAAAAAAAATTTTTATGAAAAATAATAGAAAGCTTACATCACATACAAAAATGATTTCCCGGTCCGGCATAATGATGTCCCACGTAGGCAGCCGTCAAACCAGGATTAATACCTATCTACAAACATTGAGATATAAAAAATATCAAAGATACTTTCCACATATATTTACATTTGCACATTAGGTACATTTTGTTTTACAACTAATTAATTTAAAAGAGGCTAATTAATTAATCAATTTTTGAACCATTAAACATTAAATATGAATATGTACTAAATAGTTCAAAGTCATAGCGTAAGCAAATAAATAAAACTTTAGAACAGATACACAAACTTGCAAAATATGTAGGCTTGTATTGCATTGTAATTGTATTGTTAATATATCACATTATTTATAGATTATATTATAATTATTATACATTAGATTATTATTCATGAATATTTTATAGCATTATTTTATTTAATTATAGATTATACTTTAAGAATTTTATGGTATAGAATTTAAAAATTACAATGATGATATCCAGGTCTGGCTTCAGGTGGTCAGGAAGTTTCATTCCCAAAACTTCCTCTTCTGTCCTACCATTGAATCGGTCTCTTTTTCTTCTTTGTGGTATTATGTTTGTGATTAACTCTTGTTTAATTTTAGGAGGCATTGAATGTTAATTAGGTTCTTTTGTTTGTTTGTTCAAACTTTTTTGGATCTCTAGAAATGATAAATCTGATCAGAAATTCAAATTGCCTAACACCTAACTGAATATTTTATCGGTTAGAAAGTGAAACATAGTTGAATAAACAATTTTTATACAATCTAATATTACGTTTTAATTGTAAATTAACATTGTAGATTTTTATCAGTTAGAAAAAAAATATTAGCTTACAGAGCGATAATCTAATTAAAAATTTAAAAAACATTGACAAAATTTATTTGGACAAAGTTCATGCATTTCAAAAACTTAAATTAATGGAAAAACTTATTTTTAGTAATTAGAGAAACTTTGTTCAGTTTTTTATTAAAATGTAAACTTAAAATATTTTGTAATTATGCTAAAAATGTCCTTTATCAGAAATAAACGTTTTTGCAACCTGGAAAAACATCGACCGTGAAATTATTTTATGCATTATATTAATTCCTCTTTTAAATTTTAAATTGCTTGAGTTGATCAAAGAAAAGAGCGATCTATCCGTGAAATTATTGTTAATTAGTGAAAGGCCGTCATTTTTTTGTAATTACATGAAATTTATTCTCCGAAGATCATGTATGGACCAAGAAGGGTAGTTGTCACTGGCATCGGACTTGTGACATGTTTGGGTACAGGCACTGACCTGGTCTGGAAAAATGTCATTCAGGGAAAGTGTGGAATAGTGGCCTTAACTGGGGAAGGTTCGAAGTTATCGAGTTTTTTATTCACCTAGATCAGTTTTTTATTTATAACTAATTTATAAATTTATAATTTAACCAATTAGCTTTTAAACTTTAAAGAATATTTTAATGTCTCTAATGCTAATCTAATTCTATCCCTAATATGGTTCTCTATATATATTGTATATTTTATTAGTTTATTATTACACTTATTATATTTTTTCATTTAATTTTTACAATGTAGAATTCTCCAAAGTGCCATCTCGTGTTGCAGGATTGGTGAAGCATGGCTATGATCCTGGTGGTTTTAATCTGAGTAAAATAAATTTAAAAATTGACCTAAAATCTGCATCCACTAGTTCATTATATGCCTTGGTGGCAGCCAATGAAGCAATACAACAAGCCAAATTAGATCTATCGGATGAATATACACAAAGAAGGACAGGTGTAGGGATATATAATTTTTTTTATTTATCTTAGATAGACATCTAAATTTAATCATTTCATTTGTTCTAAATTTTTTATTTTATGGCTATTGTTTCATTTTACTTATTTAATGTTATCCAATCAATAAAGTATTGCAAATATATGCCAATCACTAATTTCAGGTTGTATTGCTTGAAATTCAGGAGTGGCCATCGGAATGAGCATGATTGGGCTGGATGAAATTGTTGCCACTAGTGAAAGGTTCAAAATTGGGTACAACAAAGTCAGTCCTCATTTCGTCCCAAAAATACTTACCAACATGCCTGCTGGCCTAATCAGCATCCAATATAAAATTAAAGTAACTTTTCTTGATTATGAATTTATTTTTCAATAATATGACAAAATTACGGTATTTCAATTGTCACAAAAAATTTTTTACTGGAAATTACAAAATTTGTAATTTTACATTCATAGGGTTTGAACCATTCTGTGGCCACAGCCTGCACCACTGGTCTGCATTCGTTGGGTGATGCTTTCAGATTCATTCGCAACGGTGATGTGGATGCTATAGTGTGTGGTAGTACTGAGTCATGTGTTGGTCCTCTGGCACTTGCTGGTTTCTGTAGGATGAGAGCTCTCTCTACAAACTTCAACTCTGACCCCTTAACAGCTTCAAGGCCATTCGATGACCTAAGAGATGGATTTGTCATGTCCGAAGGTTTGAACGTAACTTTTTTTGTGTTAAAGGTTTTCCAACTACCCTTCCTTTATAGAATAAAAACTATTTCTTGTTTACAGGAGCCTGCATAATGGTCATGGAGTCATTGGGATCAGCCAGAAGAAGAGGAATAAAACCAATATGTGAAGTTTTAGGCTACGGATTGTCATCAGATGCAAATCACATCACTGCACCGTGTCCCCACGGAGAAGGAGCAGAGATGTGCATGTTGGCAGCCCTCAGAGATGCAAACATCCAGCCAGGTGCAATTGGTTACGTGAACGCCCACGCCACATCCACATCACTAGGTGATGCAGCCGAGGCCGAAGCAATTTACAGAATTTTTGCCGGTGCAGACAGTAAGGCGCACAATGCGATTTGCAATAATGTCATCGATACAATACCTTATGAAAATTACAGTGATATAAAGTACCAACAACAAATGACAGCCATAAAGGGCCCAGCAGTTTCATCAACGAAGGGGGCACTTGGACACATGTTGGGTGCAGCAGGGTCCACGGAAGTTGCCCTGGCTGCTCTGGCTTGTAACAAAGGCGTCATTCCTCCATCAATCAATCTTTACAGCACAAGTTCAATAGATGTGGCTCTTGATTTCGTAAGGAATAAATGTCGTGATTGGTCTAGAAGTGGAGAAATCAGGAGTAAGAGAAGAGTGGCATTGTCCAATTCATTTGGGTTCGGGGGAACCAATGCTTCACTGTGTGTTGCTGAATTTTTAGAATGAATGCTTGCAATATTTGTTTTTGTTTTTGTGACAAACTGTAACTGATGATGAAAATGTCTAAATTCGAAAATCAAAAAAACAATACATTAAATGTTATATTGCATCAAAATAATTTAAACATGGTGGTGTCGTTGATTAGTTTACAAGATAATAATTTATATCATAAACTAAAACAAAAATAAAATAGAAGAAAATAAATTTATATAATAACAAATTCAAAAATCAACCTATACATACATGGTGCATCATTAAAACAGCGATGATCCAGTGATTTATCTTTTGATCAGAAGTAGGATCAAACTATATTTTTCATTTAAAACTTACTAAATTAATTTAAAACTTACTAAATTAAACACCTACACACACGCACACACACACACACACGAAACATTGGCACAGACAGTATGTAATGTAAATTAATTGTTCATAACAAGCCACGCGAACGTAACGAAACGTAGAGTGTTAATGGGCTGTACAAAGTCAATGCAAAAGTGTCCACAACAAAATTACTTTAAAGCTTTAAAAACAACCGTTAATTACTTATGGATGTCAATTTGAAAGATGTAAATATGAAGAAAAAATTATGGTGGTGAAGGTGGTCAAATTACCGAAACAAAATTATTATATTTACACATTTTATTTTGTATCAGAAGTGTATATTATTCCGCTGAAATAGCATACACACACATACAGTTAAAGTCAGTTTAATGTATAAAATAAACAAAAAGGATGCGTCGTGTTGAAAAAACATTAGTCATCACAAAATCACAAAATTGATGAAAACTTATAAAAACGTAATTTCGTAAAACAATGGTAACTCAAAAATCTTGCAACCATGATGATAGTAATTCGAATAATAATAAACCACAGTTTAGAACAGGCTAAAGTTGAGAGCTTGTTTTATGTAGTTATTAGGTAGATATAAATGGATATTTACACTTATTATGTTTATATATAGATGAATTATTAAATATCATAATTATCATAATCATCATTTTACATTAGTGGTTCATTTATGAATTTTGCAAAACTGATTATTTTACGAAAACCAGAAGGTTAAGACAATATGGTCAAGAAACAAAAAAAAATGATACATATCAATATGGAAAATCCTATATGTTCTTCCATCTTTTGTACCAATAATGTAAATAAAATTGAAAATAATGATAGCAATGATCTTAGAAGTGTAAATTTCCTATTATGAAACAAGTAAAATTAATAACACATGCTAATTCACTCCAGTTCAAAGCAAGTGCTATATTATTGAGTGACAATATTTATCGTGTTTAAATAAATAAATAAATAAATCTCCATAGAGATAAATGTACTGAAAATGAACAAGAGTAAATAAACAAATGATATATACAGTAGAAGGTTTGATGTAGATCCAGGTTCACTGAGTTCAAATGTTGCTGCTGCTGTTGATTTTCTTTCCATTCCTCGATGACACTGAGTTGGCTATCTTCTGAAGTTCTCTTATCTTTAACTAGTACGAAATGATTATTAATATTATAAGAAAACTAAAAATATCAAATTAGAGTTTAGTCCGTCATAAATACAGTATAACAGTATATTAATTTGTGAGTATAAAAAGATATTTATCTATGAAAAAATGTTGGTGTGTGCGTGCGCACGTGCGTAGACAGCCTAATATGATCATCAATACAATGGAATAGCTAACTTGCATGTTCTCAACTGTCTCATCGTGACCTTTCTGAAGTTGCAACACCTTGCTCCTCATCTCTTTCTCCGTCTCAAACTGGTGGGCCTTCAACTCTGTTATCTAGAAGGAATTTCATTTATTAATTGGATTTAGTAAATTTTTTATTCAGTTGAATTTCGATACATCGAAAATCACAAAGAACAAAATAAGTTGATTACACCCACTTTTTGATCTTTCTGCAATATAACTTGATCCTTAGCCTGAAGCTGCCTCTTGAGAGATTCGATAGTTTCCTTCAACTGTGTTATGGTCGTCATGTGCTCGCCCGACCCAAAGTCGAACTCAAACTGCCCCCTGCGTTTTGTTAAATGGAAATGTTAGAAAAATTTTAAAACTATGTTTCAATAATGAAAAATATTTTTGCCCTCCATGCCAATAGTAAATACAGTTTCTAAATTGTTTTAAATAAACAGAAACAATACTTATAAAAATGAAATAGAAAACAAACAACATTGACGAAGTTGGTAATGTAAAGTCATCTATGAAATACTTTTTTGCTGAAAAAGAAGGGACCTTCTCCAGCTTTCTTTTTCTTGGAGAGGAATTATTTATCTTATCATCCGATTTTCTATTGGAAGATAACATAAAAAATAAAGCAGTTTCATTAAAAGTTGATAATGATACAGATGTGAGATATGCAAGAAAACTAGCTAAGATTGTGAAACAAACTCTCTGGGTAGTTAAAAATTAAGAAAACTATAAACGTTATTCCCGGGACAAAATAAATTGTGACAAAAATAAAAAGTATTCATCAACAGAAGCATGATAATCATGAACTAACTTGACAGAATCAAAATCAATTTTCAATTCACTGTCATCATTTTTCGAGAAGAGGTTAGGAGTGCCATTGTTGGAGCTGGTACTTTCCTTTATGAACGAGGAGAAGGACTTCTTATCATTACCGAATGTGTTGTTGGTTGACGTTGAAGACATAGTTGGAGTGGACGAGTTGTTGTTGATGAATGGTGAACATTTACTACTCGTATTCTTGCTGCTAGAAGATTCAAGCTTCTTCTGCTTTTTATACATTCTTTTGTAGGCAACAATGCACAGCCAGCACAGAAGTTTCCCTTCCATGGTCTTCCGATATTCTATACCCCGATCAAAGGCACAAACATTTTTGCACCTTTCGCACAACTTCGGCTGTCCATATTTCTTTTCCTGGTGAGTACATCTTTGACACTTGTTGCCCACAAATGCTGCTATCTCTTTGCAGTAATCACAAGCTTTTGGCTGTAAATCAACAGTCATTCATCTTATAAATTATTTTTTCATAGCACAACCAAAATAAATTAACTTCTAGAATTAATTATTGGTGAGCTTTAAAACTATGACAAAACATTTGTGTTATACCTTTCCATGCAGTTTCGAAAAGTGACTGCAACCTTTGCAGATTGAACTTGAGCCTCCTTTGCTTTGGTGAGGAAAAAAAAAAAATAAAGCTTAATTTTAAAAACAATGTTACCTATCAAATTTATTAATTACAATACACACCTGAAGATCCAATAAAAGTACCATAGATGATTATTTATTAGGATACAAATAATTTCTTAATTTTTCATATAATAGAATGAAACAAAACCAACCTGTCATTGTACTCCACCCTACAATATATGCATCTGACAGTAACACCAGCTTCACCATGCTTCTGGCCTTTCTGGCATGACTAGACAAATAAAAGCAGGATTTATAATAAGATATTATAAAAGTTATAATTATTATTTTATAATAATATAAATAAGAAAGAAGTTATAAAATTAAATAAAAATCATGATTTACTAGATGGTTCAATTAAATTTGAAAAATTTAAATGTAGTGACAATGTTTTGATAACAAAATTTCGTTGAATAATCAAAGATTTTCAAAACTAAATAATATGTAGCAATATATATGAACATAAATAAATAATATAAATATGAACAATGCAAAAAGTCTGAATAGTTACAGAAAGAATTAAAGTTGATTTGATTACACCATTAGTGTTAGCGCTGTTAGTCTTCTTATTATAATATAATTATAATACCATTACTTTTAATTTAATAATTAAAATAAAATCTAATTTAAAAAAAACAATAAAATTAATTATTAAATATTAAAAGTATAATTAAATTAATAAGTATTGAATGATTCTACAAATATAATTACATAAAAACACAGATTAAAGTCTGAACAAAATAAGAGAAAAAAAATAATATGAAAACTCAACAGAAAACTCAAATGAAAACACAAAATAAAATTTAAACTACAGTCAAACAAAACACAAACTTGACAGAGTTGTTCATCAGTACTGAGTTCTTCAAAAGAATGTCTTTTATGACATTTTGTACAGGCAAATAGAGCCGCCATTTTATTTTTTAAAATATATAAAAAATAATTTTTGTAAAATAACAATGTAAGACCACTTTTTATAACGATTTCTCCGGAGGAAAATAAAATTGATCCGATTTAGCAATTTAATGACTTAAGTTTCGATTTAGTTCTACGCTTGTTTAATAATTTGTTTAAGTAAGTAAGACAAAGTTCTAAATAAAATAAAGAACTTGAATGCCATGGTAGTTGTAATGCATCGTATTGTTAGTCAATAAACTTTAAATAAATGTTTTTTTAGGTTCTTCTTTAATCTATACTTATAAGGTTTTCTATTCTATCACTAAAAGCACAATTGAGAGAAAATCCTTTTCAAATATTTAAACTAGTAAAATTGTTGTAACGTTTTTTTACTGGATGCATATACATATACTCGATATATATATATATATATATATATATATATATATATATATATATATATATATATATATATGACTGGATGCAAGTTTAGTTTCAGAAATTAAAATGCAGAAAATGGGAAATTTTTATGTCTAAGACCTGAATTCCTATCGAAGCTACAAATGATAAATGGACATACAAAATGTTACGTGGAGTATTTAAATTTAAACAAAATCAATTTAATATCAGTTCAATTCATATCCTTTGCTGACACTGTGTGTTTAATTGTGTAGAGGTGTGTGTGTGTGTGTGTGTGTGTGTGTGTGTGTGTGTGTGTGTGTGTGTGTGTGTGTGTGTGTGTGTGTGTGTGTGTGCGTCTGGTTTTCTATGTGAACGTGAGCACAATAATTAAAAAGTCGAGATGTGAAAATTCTAGAGGAATGGCTGCCAACAACAAACGAACGAACGAACAACTAATTGAACCTAATTGTACAACAATCAGATGAGTTGTTGTATCTCTAACATACAAACATAATTATTAACTATACTCCTCAACAATGTGTATGATGTGAATGAGACGATAATTATAACAGCAATAACATTAACGGAAATTGAGTGATGATAATAATAATAAAAAAGAAACAGTAATTACGCTTTCAATCGTATCTTTATAAATATCTTTATAAATAACATTAACAATAAACTTTTGG